TTCCTCACTCATTGTTGCTGCTCAACTAACAGATCAAAATTCCATATTGTGGAAAGATATATTCAGTAAATGAGGAAATGAAAAATATTGGTATGAACCATGTAAGAAATATTTCAATTTGCTCAAATATCAAATATCCACCAGAAGGTAAAATCTTCATTCAACTTGTTAGATCGGTTCAATGGTTGCTGGTGTTCATTGTACACTGTTATATGGTGGAATTTTTGCATACCCAGCTGACAAAAAATCAAAAAATGGTAAACTTCGTATCTTGTATGAATGTTTTCCAATGGCTTTTTTAACTGAACAAAGCTGGAGGAAAAGCTATAAATAGCAAAAAACGAGCGCTTGATATTGTACCGGAATCTATTAATTCCCAGGTGTCCTATTTTCTTGGGCAGTAAAGATGATATTGAAGATATAGAAAAGTTTTATGCTGATTTCAATGATGATTGTTAAATTATAAAAAGAAGAGAAAATAATTTATTATTATTATTTGTTTTCTAAATAAAGCATTGATGATAAAGCAAAAAAAATAAATTTTTCCTATTATATATATTTCATCATTTTTTTGGTAAAATTTCGCTTATTTGACTCTGAATTAAAGAAATGCAATGTTTGCTTCCAAATTTCAACTTCACTTATGTTTCTAATAATAATAAAATAAAAAATGTATTTGTAAAAACGCGTCATGCAATTACCAACATCACCTGTTTGTGTTCTTATATGCATGTTTAACCATTCAAGCTGTATTATATTTTTAATTAAATAGAAAAATATAGAAGTTAGCTTGTTAAAAACCCGGAAACAGTATGGTAACACTTAATATGTTACTATGTAATGGTACATTACTAATAGTATAATAAAATTATTTCCACCTTGCGGAAGAAATTTTATATATAAAATTTATTTAATAATGTTGTTTCAATTGCATATAATAATGGTTCATCAAATACATCTTTTGAAGAAATTCAGCATACATGTTATCAAAATTAATTTGGCTTTGACCTATTTATATGTTTTTCGTACGATTCAATTAATTGCGTCAAAAAATTGCCTGATTGAATCGACATTAAAAAATGATGATAAATGTTGCAATAAAAATATACATTATGTTGAATTACGTAGATTATGCAATGTACAAAAATGGAGAACCAAAAGAATGTAAAAAAAATGTAATGCAACAAGATATCCTACTAGGTTTTGTGAAAATTGCATTAGCCTGCACCTATTGTTTCTGGGACAAAACTCGATTTTGTTGAGACAAATCATCAATTTTTATCCAGTTTATATTCACAAGGTGTCTCAGAAGCCAATTTCACATCAGTTTCGACATAATCATGTTTTATACCACATGTGTACTATTTTTTTTTTTCTGGTCACATAGAAATGTGGTGTAATTCATGCTTCAGGCCATATCAAAGAAACAAAAATTCGTCATATTATTTAAACATATACCTGAAATCAAAGTAGTTATCAGAGGGCATAAAACAAGTAGTCAAAGAACTGAATACACAAATATACAGAGAACAAAGAGAAAACAATCTGCATAGCAAAGTGGAGCAGTTGATACCAAAACAAGAACTCTAAAAATTAATAAAATTTTCGAATTAAACATTTTGCATTTAATATAAAAACAAAACAAAAATGTTCGAATATATTACTAAAACTTTTGGTTATATTAGTAATGCACTAAAATCCCTTAATGACAGTAGGGTCCCATTTGATGCTGGTGATCTATTAGGGTCAAAGAAGAAATTGAGTATGTGGAAACACCAAAGATAATGTCTTTAACCAATTTGTTACAAAGATGTCTATGCTAAGTGTAGACATCTATATATCTAAATTATAAATTTTGTTACATGAATGTTGGTCTTTTTTTAAAACTTTGCATGCTTAACATGTAAAGTTTTTCGATTTAGGCTTAGGAACATGATGTAATAATAAAAATAATGAATTACATTATCAACCCATTTACTAATCGAAGTATTAGAGTTGGTGGTCCCAAGTATATGGAACATATTAAAGCTGGTCGTATTGATTAGAATGTTAGTAATATAACTCATCAGCTTAATACAATGAATTAAGAGCCTTTGTTGAAAATTTTTAAAATACAAGCAGAGGATGACAAGGAGAGTGATGTAGAAGAGAGTGAAGAAGAGAGTGATATTGAAGATGAAAAAAAAGTGAAGAGAGTGATAATGAAGAGGAAAAAGGAGAAGGTGGTGATGAAGACAATGAATAAAAAATGTCAGTTTTTGACACTAAAAATATACAAAAGTGGCCAAAGATCCAGTTCAAGCAACCATTTAATATCGGGTGATCAATGAGGCCAAAGGCCTCCTGGAGGATCACAACATCCAAATAGTATATAGTATATGATATGGCAACTATGTGGCCAAAAATCAGAAATCAGCCACAATCCAATGTGGAAATGATTTAATTTTATTTCCAGTATTAAAAAATCCCAATTTTTATCCAATTTATATTCACAAGGTGTTCCAGAAGCCAATTTCACATCAATTTCGACATAAACATGTTTTATACCATATGTATACTATTTTCTAGCCACATAGCAGTGTGGTGTAATTTAGTCAACTGGTATTCAACAATCCCAAAAGTTCTCTGCACTTCCAAAAAATATAATGGAATGGACCCCATCTGGTCAATTCAAGGATATTGAATATCTATCTTGAGAAGGATTGATATGGAAACATGGACAAGAGGATATATAAATGATTATGATGGAGATAAAAAGGAATTTAATTATTATGAGGTTTTAAAATGTTTAAATAATTCAAATAACATTTTTTGATGAGGTCAGTAACAATTTCATTTAATATTAGATTAATTGAGTTTATCCATATTTTAAGGCATTGATTTATTGTAAAATTAAATCAAATATTGTTAATTGCTATGCCATAACTAAATCTCCAGATAATGGAGATTATCCAGTAGTTCTACAATATGGGCCAGAAGAGATTATTTACCATTAGTTAAAATTACCATATTTAGAAAGATTGTCTCCAATAAGCCAATCACAGTGTGGGTCAAAAACCCTATATCAAACTGTGATTTTGTATGTAACCTATCTATATAGTTTGCGGTGTCCTATCCCATATTGTGCGTGAATTAATTTTAAATTAATGCGCGTGAAATTCAAATTAGCCAATCAAAACTTTGTATCCAAATACCCCACCCAAAATTTTAACTACAATTTGATTTTGGGATCCCAGATATTTGTATAATAATAAGGTTTGGTTTAATATTAACCAACTAAACCACCCAAGGCATGTCTCGAAGTAGCATAATAGTTTAGAGTAATGATACCTGACGAAATGTTTTTGCAGGCGGGAATTATTTCGTCAAATCGTTGTTAATTTCGTCACATTTGGCGAAATGGTAAAATGTGGTAAATTGATGAAATGTTACGAAAAGAGGAAATATGACGAAAGGAGATATTATAAACAAATTCTAAAAAAATTTTTTTTTACAAAATTTTTTCTTTTAAATTTAATATTCTTCATTAAAATGTCACACAATAGTCAAAGTTAATCAAAATGAATCAATTTACGAATTTTCTGATAATAATTATGATCCAAGAGATTTAGTAAAAGATATCTTTGTTGAAGATGAATTTGAAAGTGAACATAATTCAATTAAACAATTATTTAGAACAAGAATGTTATGATATTGACATTAATAACAGTCTTACAAGTAATGAAATTGATAGCAATTTTGGAAATAATACAAATGAAGATGATGATAAAAATTAATTAGAAACCAGAAGAAACATTACAAAAATACTCTTTGTGAAAATGGTTATATTTTTCTCTTTTTTTTTCGTCGATTTTTTCTTTTCCCTCCTTTTCCTTTTCGTCAATATGCTCTTTGCGGTAAATTACATTTCGTCAGGTATCATTAGTTCAGAGTCCCAGTCGATTAGATGATTGTTTTGCGGATGGATTAATTCAGAACTTTAAGTCCTTAAATACATGTTTTGAAATTCTAATACAAAGATATTCTACTTGGTAGAGAGGTCTACTTCAAAAGGTAATTACTTCTTATATGTCACATAGGTCCTATATAATATTAATATTACACAATTTATAACTTAACAATAATAATAACATTAATAATATTTTATAATAATAACTGTTTTTTCTGAAAGTTATTTTGTGAATTAATGTTTACTTCATTCTAATAAAACTATATAAGCAGATATTGCTTTTATTAAAAAAAAAAGAAAAACATTAATAGCATTAATAGTAATAATAATAATAACATTAATAATAACAACCACAATAATAATAATAATAATAATAATAATAATAATAATAATGAAATTTTTCTTTCACCCCTTCCTTGAAGGGCACTTTTTTTTGCCCCCCTTGAACAAATTCTCTTGTCAATTTCACATAATGATGACTATTTTATAATTGAAAATATAGTAATAGATTATATGAAATAGCTTAGATGTTGAATCTGATATAACTTTCCTATCCTTGAATTTGATGATATTGAAAAAGAGGAAAGTTATGATTTTGATAATAAAGAAAAAGAAATTTCTGATGATCCAAACCTCTTGCTCAACTTAAAGGTACTTGTGAAGTTGATCGTAATACTGTGGAACAATATGGAAATGATTTATTTGAGATTGGTGTTGTTATCTATGATCAGAACATGTTATATAAAGAAAAGCAACAACAGTTACAAACAGAACAAAATAAATTACATGATACACGTTGCTTACTATGTAAAAAAGTTCAAAATCTTCTTCACACATAATGGATGTTCTGAGAATCCATGGGCTGTATATGGGCGAAACGTTAGAGGAGTACCTTGCTTGTGATTGCAATCTTGCAAAGCTTTGCAAGATTGTGCCTCAATTTCCACTAAATCAACAAATAGCTCCCGTTCTTTGTATATTTGTTCGGATTGTTTTGAAGCTAATGGAAGCCATTTCCGTAAAAGAATGGGGAAGGGTTATAAGAGGTTCAGTTGTGATAAAAACATAGGGTCATTCGGAACTTGACTTTTTGTTGACCGATTAAACAATACTTTCCAGAAAATATAATTTCCAACCAGTCAGACTTATCAAATAATATTAACCAACTCAATCGATGATACAAATAGCATTTCAAATTATCTAAAATAGATTTAAGGGGAATGTAATAGTTTTGGAAACATAATTGGTTAATCATTATGGAAATTACGTGGATAATTACCAACCTGAAAAATCCACAATCCCCCTCCCATACGCTATTCATCTACTTTGCCACAAATTCTCTGTTCTTTTTTTAAGAGACTTATCACTGTCAGCAAAAGAAAACATGTAGTTGCAAAGACAAAGAAAAAACCGTAAATTCCCTTAGATACCACACCAATTAAAAACTACAATTTTTTTAGTATCAATTATTTTGGGGATAACCTTTTGTGGTTGGAAGGTTTGGTTGCCTCAAGTTTTGAGTTCCCTCTGTAGACATCTACAATTAATCTCAAAACTTCACCCAATTTTCCATTCACCAATATCATTTCCTATGCTGAAGTTCGAAAACAAAACGAAAGAATGAAAATGCTGATCTAATTAATAAACTCGAAGTTGGTAGTGAGATTTATAATCTGACTGCTATAGATAATATGGATTTACAAGAGAAAACTTATTAATATGGCAATCACTATGGTGTTATATGGTATTCCAGGTTAATATTTCCTCAAATTTGCAATTTCTCTTTCAGATTTCTCTTCTGAGTCATTTGATCAAGCAATTATTGGGATCATCAGTAACAAAAAATTTAAATAAAAAATATGAGAATTAATTAATTTTAGAAAAAATATATGAATTTGATGTTAAAGATAATCATCTTAAAGTTGGTAAACTGTTGAATTGTGATGTAGATTTGCTAAGCCAAATGTGGTTATTTTAAATTCTGGACTGTAACTGAACTCTGATGAAAATGTTCATAAAGCATGTGATATGACAATAATATATTGACCACAGCCTTTTCTGGATATGGAATATACAACATAGCGTTTCAACTCGGAATTAAGTCGCTGATTCATTTGGATAATGGTGTAAACTATTGTGCAACTTGTAGTGTTCTTGAATTGATCTGGTTGCAGTTGGAATTGCCATCTATCGTTTTCTACAAAACACTGGAAAAGATTTTGATTGTGTTTCAATAATATTTTGAAAATTTGGCTAAATTATTACAGGTGGGATGGGATTACTGGAAGGCGCACAAGTTGGAATTCAAAGAGGAATTTTTATTTGCAAGTTGTGTATCTTACGGCCTTTTCATCACTCTTCTCAATTACAGGGAAATGCAGATGCTGAATATAAGGAATCTGAGTTTCAAAAATTTGCTTCGAGCACTATCTATCAACCTCACGCGAGAAGAGCATTATGTAGAATATGAGTATATGGTGTAAAATTTATTAAGCAAACAATGACAGGAAGGCTTGAAGATGAAGCAAATTTTCAACTACAAATAAAGCAAGTCAAGATGAGATTAATCAATTAAAAATCCTTGATGAGTTCGTTCCTGATAAAGTACACCATACTTACATAAACGTGTCATAAAAATAGCAGTCAGGAAATGTGGAATTTGAGCGATAAAATTTATGAAGCTTCCATAATATAATCATTCCATTTTTGATTATAACCACACAAAATACACCCGAAGGATATAAAGAATGGATCAATGTTATTGAAAAGATTCTTGCTCAGGGAGTTTATATGACTGAAAGACAAATCACAAAAGGAAGAGGAGCTAAAGACCTAGTAAAAGTTAAGTATTAGATTTAATGAACAGAGAAAAGATCAAAATCAAAAATCAAGACAGCGATCACAAGCCCAAAGCGAGAATATTGTAATGGATTGGGCAAATGATAATACTAGCGATGTTCAACAAACGTAAATACCTGTTGCATCCTCTGGTTCATCCATTCAATCTTCAACTCCTAATCACCCATGAAAATTTACTCAAATGAAGAGGTTAAAATTTTTAAAAATCTTGCTAATTATAAAGATTCTGATTTCCTACCATTAAATTTAAAAAAAGTTATGATGAGTGGACTGAAAAAAAAAACTCTGGATTGTTAATGTAATTTTTCAGGGAAAAGAAAGAAACAAAAAAGTAGATATCATTTTAATAAATATGATTTTGTTAATAATAATAATAATATATAATTAAATAATAAATGTAATTTTTTTTAATAATAATAATATATAGTTTAATAATTTATATAAAACGTATAAAAAACCTTGGCAAAGGAAAAGTACAAAATTAACATCAATCAATAATGCAAAATCAAGTGAATCTTTTTGGCTTTAATAATTCTAAAAAATCTTGGATTCAAAGTTCAAAATGTGCCACTTTTTTTAATCTCTATTACTTTACAAAGAAAAGAACCAGAAAAGGACTTTCTCTAACTTGCGGCTTGTTTTCCATAACTCAGATAATTGGTTTGTTTACTTGGATATTTTAAAATGTTTTGTTAGTAAATTTTTCATTAAAAAAATGCGTGACGGTCATTACTATGTAATTATGTAATTACACCTCCTGTGACGGCAACGTGTCTTTACAGTTTAAAAAAAGTCTTGTTTGATTTTAACAATAAAGAAATTTATTTTTTAGTAAACCTTCTTTACACGCAAAAATAGTATTCAATTTAAACTATAACAAATATTAATTGGTGTTAGTATTTAGACATATACACCTTTTTTTATATTAAAATTCTTTTTTTAAATAGTATTGGTATCAGGTAATCATACAATATAACAAACGATTTCCATTCTTTTTATTGTACGAAATTAAGAAACCTTTCGTCGTTGATTATTTGTTTGGAAAACCAACTACAAAATCTTCTTTTTTAATAAAAAATATCTTCTATTTTGGTGTAAGCGGCGAGAATGTTTGTACGTACAGGGTAGACAATGACAATTTCACCAAAATAAGCTATAAAACATTTCGGAAATATGGCCTAAGAGGTTAAAGAAAATGTGTGTCAACAGTTGGAAATCTTTTGACATCGAAAGATATTTATTTTATAGGTTGGATATTTGATAAAATATTAATTTTTCAGGAAAATTTAGTCTGAAAGAAATCTCTCTACGTAATTAACATGTTAAAATTTAAATTAAATAAATATACCCGAGAAACTTTTTACAGAGTATAAATTATACATGAAGTCAAAAACATTTGCAGATCTGGTAGAGTCAAAATTGATTTTTACTATTACTATGTAATTGTAATTGCCTCAAGTTGAAACTTTTTGACTGTGGGAGGATTTGATTTCGACTTCATGTATAGTAAGTATAAACTGACTCTAAACCCTCCTCTATAGGAAATGTTAAACATGAACCGATTTCTTAACCTAAAATTATACTCATTTATGCTCGCAGTTTTAACCCCAGAGAGACAAAAAGGTAAAAGGAAAAACTGGTTACAATTGCTATCAAGCAATCTAATAGTTGACTTGCATGATAATCAGCAAAAATAATTGAATGAATCCAAATTGATGTTGTGCATTAGTAAAATTCTTACTTGTATAACATTCTAAAAAATCATATTGGACTGATTGTTATTGAGTTGCACTTAGAGATAGCACATCTAGAGAACTTGGAAATTGTTGTTGAAATATATATTCATGGAGAATTAATATACTTCTTTTTCAATAAATTAAATAAATCCAGTCTTATTTTTTAATTTATAATTTTTAATCTAAATCTTCTTTTTAAATCCTGTCAAAATTTTCACTCTATACTTTGGGCAGACCAGGCCAGGAGAGAACTAGAATGTTATTATCTTCTTTCCATACTTACTATAGCTGCTTTGTAACATGACGCATTATCTTCTTAATTCACCATCTTCATCTTCATCTTCTTCACTTAGTTCATTATTTATCAATTTAAAGCTTTATAATTTTTTTAAGAAATTGAAAAAATTCAATCTGTTTAGTATTTTGTCCATAATAATAAATTGTGAGATTCTACAAATAACTAAATTTAAATATGCATTTTTTACTTATATATACCACAAAGGTCGTTAGAACTTGACATTGTGGTCAATTTTCGAGTCAAACATTTTCCAGAAAACTTCGGAAAATTCATTTTTATCTAAGGTTTTTTGTAAACTTTAGTATATTAATATTAATATATTATATACTTTAAAAATTTATTTCATTAATTATATAATAATTTGAATTAATAATTAATTTTTCGCCACATTTAATAGTTCATTAAAGATCACTTCTATAAATGCCTTATCGATCAAGAATCAATTCAATATTTAATTGGGGATGCATTGTTTGGTATCACTTACACTCTCCTACCATAAATATCCGACCACCTGATGATCATTTTGATAATCGGAAATTTTACGCCTTATTATTATTATTATTATTATGCAGTTCAAAATTTATTAATCAAACCGGAACTAATGCATGTAAACTTAAAGTCTCGTCGAGTTTGCATTATTAATGAATTTAGGATGAAAATTAAACAAAAAATCCCGTGATTTTTATGAAAACTTTGAGCTTAGTATTAGTAAAAACCTTCAAAACTCCGTTGAATCATGGATTACGTCATTAAGTAAGTCCACTTAAATACCTTGAATTATATATGGTTAAAATTTGAGAAAATTTGATCAAGTATAGACAACAAAACGCAAAGTCTTAATATTTGCATTTTGTCAACTTTATTATTATTAAGTGCTTTATTGATAAAATTACGGGGTGGTCAGATACTTTTTTAAACCCTTTTCACGAACTAATTTATGCCAACACCATATTGTGGATGTATGTAATTTTGTTACGTTGGGCACATTTTATTAATGAAATAATATACATCACAATGAAGAAATTTGACCTTTATTACATGTAAAGATTCTGATTGAAAATTTGCTTTTTGGACTATTTGTTAAATGTTTCCATTAATACCATACCGAACCCTTCGAAGCTTTTGTAATTTAGAGATTTTGATATTAATATCAAATACAAGTCTACTTAGTAAAGTAAAAACGGTTTTATTTAAGGAAGCGTTACTTTTTAGTAAGGACTCTTTTCATATGACGTTACACAACTTGTGTAGTCGGATACTTATGGTAGTAGTATATAGTAATAGTAGTACGTAACATTCGCCATCTTTCACAAAAATTAAAAATTCGTAATGCACTACAGTTTATTTATTTATAAATAATGAAAATCTTGGAGTAAAAAAAAAAGTTTTTTCTATTTTTTCAAAAAATAATAATAGTAATAATATCTTACGAGAAAAAAACAAAAATTAATAATGTCAAGCCAAACAAAAGAGGATTTTCAAAAGATAGATTTTGAAGAAAAAGGTGATACAACTTCTACAACCGTCACAAATTCTCCAAACTCGGCCAATTCACTAAGTAATGAACAAACAATTACTAGGCGAGAAAATGATCAAGTCATTGTTATTACAACAAATAAAGAAGAGGACAATAATAATAACAAGGACGAAGATAATGAAGTTTATCAAAATGAAGGTGAAGAAGATCAATTTCACGACAATTCCAAAGTTCCAAAATTATCATATTGGAGAATTTATTTATTATTTTTAAATTTTGGATGTCTTGCTTGGGGTGGACCAGTTGCACAAATATCATTGCTTAAAGAAAGGTTGGTTGTAAAAGAAGGTTGGATCACAACTGCTAGGTTTAATAGAGTTTATGGAGTTTATCAAATAGTTCCGGGACCAGAAGCAACTGAATTGGCTATGTTTTTTGGATGTTTGGCAGGTGGAAAAATAGGCGGGCTTCTGGGCGGATTCGGATTTATAACACCGGGATTTTTCTTGATATTATTATTTTCATTCATCTATACAAAAATTGGATGGGAAAATGTTTACTTCAACGCTTCATTCAGAGCATTGCAACCAATGGTTGCAGCCATGGTTCTGAGAGCTGTACACAAAATAGGCGAGCATTCGTTTATTTCGCACAGATCAAACAAATTCAATTGGTG